CCTAATTTGACATATGACAATAATCAGGTGTCTGTTGTTGTTTATTATTGTTATAAGAAATCTGTGCATAATGATTTTGAAAAAAATGAAGTTCAGTACATCATTTCGCCGGAAAATTTCAAAAAAATTTAATAAAATCTCAAATTCAGTGCCCTCAGTATCTTCCACGAGGACACTAAACACAATTTCGTAGACAAGAAAATAAATTACTTGAGGGAACTGATAAACATGATGATTATAGCAATAACACTATTTTGAGACCAAAATTGCCAATACCGGCGCTGACGGCATCTGGTTAAAAGTTAAGTACATAATGTTACTAATAGTTATAAAATATAACCTTAGGTGATATTATAGTTTCCAGAGTTTATATTGTTACTAAAGTGATCCGCCATATTTTTTTACCAAAATCATAATAATAAAAAAGATGCGTTGCAAAAACACTAGGTTAAGCTGATTTTGATGCAAAATATACAATAATTGTTTAATACTGGCATATGCAAAACGGAAATGACATTAATTTCTTCTTAAATCTCATTTTAATTAATATTTATATGTGTATATTTTGTGAGAAAACTGATTTGAAATTAATAAAAAGTGAATATTTGAAGGGCCCCTGCGTTTTTTCGAAGTACCGGTTCTACTTTTGCAGTAGAAAAAGTTTCCCAACTATATTTTGAGTCTACCAATGCTGTAAAATTACAACAAAGTACCATCGTTTTCTAATAGGTAAATATTATTAATATTTGGACTCCATATTTGTTTTTTTTTAGTAACAGACATCTTGAAATAGAATTGTGGGAATAGAATAGTAGGAGACCATTTAAAGCAATGTATTTGAGAGAGAAAAAATATGTATTTATAATGATGACAGAATTGACAAAAGTTATATAGTGGTTACCACAATATTTCCGTTACCAATGGTTACATAAATTAAAGTTATATACCGTTACTAAACACAGGTTTTCGAAACCTTTATAAACGCTCAATTTAAGCTCTTTAAAGGGTCTATAGGAGTAACAGAAATATTTCGGTAAATGGATATAAAACCTTAAGTTATATACAGAAGGTGATATAACATTTACGGTAAATATTATAAAAACAAAAATGTTTATTGGGCTTTATTGTAAAAATTGGGTTTAGCATGATTTCTCATGTCATGATAATGCTTATTCAAAACTTGCTTGAGTTCTTAATGTTTTTGAATAACCTTTTTGTTATTTACAATTTCCCCGCCATTATTTATATTTTGTGAAAAATTTTCTGGTACTGGAAGAAAGGCATTGACCGAGGCATTCACATTACATCCAAACATAATTTCACTGGGAGATTTATTTATGTCAGAAATTATAGGGGTATTCCTATATTCTAGCAAAACGATATACGGATCTTGTCCACTATGTTCCGCCTTTTTGAGCATTGTTTTAAAAATACCCACATGCCTTTCTGCCATACCATTAGGACGAGGATAGTATGGATGGACTTAACATTATATGCTTAAAATTTCAAGTTTTTGAAAAATTTTGAAATTTGAAATTCGCCAACTGAGGTCCTGGATGTATAAAAAAATATCTCATACTTCTGAGGATAATAACTATCCAGAGAATATAACATGCTTCAAACCTTTCTTTCACGAATCTGAATAAGAGAGGCATAAAAATCCTATTACTGGTCATTCTAGAGCTAAAATTAAAACTAAAAAAAGTATCAAAATCCTGTTGCCAACTGCAGTATTGAGCTTGAGATGCTTAAAAAGTAAAGAGTCCACTTTTGATCTCGCTGAGTTGAAGCTGAACTAGAGAGGCATAAAATTTTTATTATTGGATCTACTAGAGCTGAAATTATAACTAAAAAAGTATGAAAATCCCTCGGAAAATCCTATTGCCAGTTCCAATAGAGCTGAAATTAAACTAGAAATGTACAAATTGTTATTTTTGATATGTAAAGAGGAAGATGAGAAGCTCATTTTCCCAAAATTTCAAAATTTTCCAGTGGAAAATAACAATATGAAGAATCTCAAAAATCAACCTACAATAACTGAATTAATAAAAAATACTGTCTCACGCAATCCAAACTTTTCCTAGAAAGCAAGTGAAGGGAAAATTTTGAAACTTTTTGCATGTAAAGAGGAAGATGAGAAGCTCATTTTCCTAAAATTTCAAATTTTTCCAGTCGAAAACAGTAACATGAAGAATCTTGGAAATCAACCTACAAAAACTGAATTAGTTGAAAATATAGTCTCACGCATTTCAAAGTTTTCCTGGAAAACTAGTGAAAGGAAAAATTTGAAAATTTTTGCTAGAGAAGAGGAAGGTTAGAAGCTCATTTACCCAAAATGTCAAATTTTTCCAGTGGAAAATAACAGTATGAAGAATCTTGGAAATCAACCTGTCAAAAACTGAATTAGTTGATAATTCCGTCTCACACATTTCAAATTTTTCCTGGAAAACTAGTGAAAGGAAAAATTTGAAACTTTCTGCATGTGAAGAGTAAAAAAGTTAAAGGTTCATTTTCCCAAAATTTCAAATTTTTCCAGTAGAAAATAACAACATGAAGAATCTTGGAAATCAACCTGTCGAAAACTGAATTAGTTGATAATACTGTCTCACACATTTCAAATTTTTCCTGGAAGACTAGTGAAAGGAAAAATTTGGAAATTTATGCAAGAGAAGAGGAAGGTTAGAAGCTCATTTTCCCAAAATTTCAAATTTTTCAAGTAGATTATAACAACATGAGGAATCTTGGAAATCAACCTACAATAACTGAATTAATTGAAAATACCTCGGAAAATACAGTTTCACACATTTCAAAGTTTTCCTGGAAAACTAGTGAAGGGAAAACTTTGAAAATTTTTGCATGTAAAGAGGAAGGGGAGAAGCTCATTCTCCCAAAATTTTAAATTTTTCCAGTAGAAAATAACAACATGAAGAATCTTGGAAATCAACTTACAATAACTGAATTAATTAAAAATACTGTCTCACACAATTCAAAGTTTTTTTGGAAAACTAGTGAAGGAAAAATTTTGAAACTTTTTGTATGTTAAGAGGAAGGGGGAGAAACTCATTTTCCCAAAATTTCAAATTTTTCCAGTGGAAAATAACAATATGAAGAATTTTGGAAATCAACCTCCAATAACTGAATTAATTGAAAATACAGTCTCACACATTTCAAAGTTTTCCTGGAAAACTAGTGAAGGCAAAAATTTGAAACTTTTTGCGTGTGAAGAGTAGGAAGGTTAAAGGCTCATTTTCCCAAAATTTCAATTTTTTTTAGTAGAAAATAACATGAGGAATATTGGAAATCTACCTTCAATAACTGAATTAATTAAAAATACAGTCTCGAACATTTCAAAGTTTTCCTGGAAAACTAGTAAAGGGAAAATTTTGAAACTTTTTGTATGTTAAGAGGAAGGGGGAGAAACTCATTTTCCCAAAATTTCAAATTTTTCCAGTGGAAAATAACAATATGAAGAATTTTGGAAATCAACCTCCAATAACTGAATTAATTGAAAATACAGTCTCACACATTTCAAAGTTTTCCTGGAAAACTAGTGAAGGCAAAAATTTGAAACTTTTTGCGTGTGAAGAGTAGAAAGGTTAAAGGCTCATTTTCCCAAAATTTCAATTTTTTTTAGTAGAAAATAACATGAGGAATATTGGAAATCTACCTTCAATAACTGAATTAATTAAAAATACAGTCTCGAACATTTCAAAGTTTTCCTGGAAAACTAGTAAAGGGAAAATTTTGAAACTTTTTGCATGTGAAGAGGAAGATGAGAAGCTCATTTTCCCAAAAATTCAAATTTTTCCAGTGGAAAATAACAACATGAAGAATCTTGGAAATCAACTTACAAAAACTGAATTAGTTGAAAATACCGTCTCACACATTTCAAAGTTTTCCTGGAAAACTAGTGAAAGGAAAAATTTGAAACTTTGTGCATGTGAAGAGTAGAAAGTTTAAAGGTTCATTTTCCCAAAATTTCACATTTTTCCATTAAAAAATAACAACATGAGGAAGATTGGAAATCAACCTACAATAATTGAAAATACACTCTCACACATTTTGAAGTTTTCCTGGGAAACTAGTGAACGGAAAAATTTGAAACTTTTCACATGTGAAGAGGAAGGTTAGAAGCTCATTTTCCCAAAATTTCAAATTTTTCCAGTGTAAAATAACAACATGAAGAATCTTGGAAATCAGCCTACAAAAACATTATTGTTTTGAATTTTTGTAAATTTGGACCTGTAAATCATGAAGTGTAATTTTGGGAGAATTTCTTTAAATAAAATGAATGTTCAACGTTCAACACAAAACTAGATTTTTTTTTAAATTTCCATTTATTAGTGTTTCTTATAATAATAATGTGAACTTCAGTGACGTCATGACTCTACAATTTCCTTTAAATTTCTCATAAATTCCTCACTAATTCCTCCAAATTCCCCATAAACTTCTGCGAATTTCCTATAAATTCCACAAATTCTCATAAATTCTGATAAGTTCCTTCAAATTCCCCATCAATTCCTCTAAATTCCCTACATTTTTGGCAAAGAATTCCTAGGTGGTTTGTCCCTTGTGTTCTATAGATTCTAAAGCCTCCAGAGGAAACTTATGACTAAAAACTTCTCACTCAGCACTGAAAACTTTAACTTCGAGACTGATTTACATTTAAGATTCTAGAGACACAAAATGTCTCAAAATTCCTAAAGGTTTTCAAAATATTAAAGACTAAAGACTTCTAAGACTCTATGGATTTTAAAGACTGTGACTGACAACTTTGAAAATCCCTACGGAGAATCTTCATTAAATGAAACCCAACACTGAAAACTAATGACTTTAACAACTCTTAAGGAATCCTTTTGAAAAAAGCCAAGAACTCATGAAAAAATTAAAACTGCGCTCTACATAAATCAAACACCCACACGCAATACAAATGGATACCTCTCCTTAATAATTCTCCACTAATTCTCACAAATAAAATACAAAAATTGATCTTTTTTTAGTTAATTATGACTGAAACGGAGGCAAATACTGCACCTGCTCTTCCCCAAAAAAGATTCTACAGACAAAGGGCCCACTCAAACCCAATAGCCGATCATTGCTTCGACTACCCTTTAACTCCAAACGACATGGATTGGTCAAAATATTACCCAAAAAAAATCAACCAGGACCAACCTGACAATCCTAAAGTAGAATTATTGGACATAGGTTGCGGTTATGGGGGTTTGTTAATAGCTCTATCCCCAATGTTCCCCGAAAGTCTGATTTTAGGCATGGAAATTAGAGTAAAAGTTTCTGATTACGTTATGGACAGGATTGCAGCTTTGAGGTCCCACAATCTCTCCGAGTATCAGAACGTGGCTTGTTTAAGAACAAACGCAATGAAATACTTGCCAAATTTTTTCCATAAGGGACAACTTAAGAAAATCTTTTTCCTATATCCGGATCCGCACTTTAAAAAAGCCAAACACAAGTGGAGGATTATTAATAGTTGCTTATTGGCCGAGTATGCTTATGTTTTAATGGAAGGCGGAATTGTTTATACGGTAACTGACGTCAAGGAATTACATGAATGGATGGTGCAACATTTTACGCAACACCCTTTGTTTGAAAGAATCGAAGGCGAGGAGTTGAATAAGGATCCTGTTGTTGAGAAACTTTTTAGCAGTACGGAAGAAGGACAGAAGGTTACTAGGAATAATGGGGATAAGTTTTTAGCTGTTTTTAGACGAATTGCTGATAATTTTGTTTGTTGAATAAAGGTTTATTAAGCAATCATATAGAGTTATCTTTTACCTTTACAACATCAATATAATTTGTGGTATTGAGATTTCAGTTTAGCAGAATCATTATCAAATAGTACTTTTTTGTTTAATGTGATTTTTTTTTAATGAACCCATTTCCACACTGACTGGTGATTAGAAAATTAATTAATAATGTTTGCAGTTTGTTTAGCATAATATGTTAAGTAACATCGCACAATTGATAAGCGTGTCTGCACTAATTTTTCGCAGCTAGTGCTAAAATGTTTTTCTCCCAATCTGATTAGCTGTATTGTGTCAATGATGTTTGGGAGATAAAGATTATATTTGGAAAAAGTGATAATTTCAGTTGTGACAATGTCGCATAAGACGACTAAGAGCGATTTGCAAAATGTGGGGTACAGACAATTGTCTGCCAAATGGAAGGACAATCCTTTTCGAACCAAAACCAGAACCAATTCCGAGGTAATTGATAAGTTTAAATAAAGGATAACGTGATTGCATCAGAGATTAGATATTTGAGTTGGTGCATACTTAGTTATATATTTCATCATCGATCTAAAGTACAAAAATTTTAATTTTTTAGTAAAGATATCAAATTTTGCAAAGAGTAATGAGGATTATAATAATATTACTTGATACTGTGTAAAATGAAAGTCATATTAAATCATTTGTTGCAACATCTTCAAGGCCAGATCTATGAGGATTTTTTTTTCAATTCATCAATAAACTAAATGCTACAAGTGTTTCATCATTGATGAATTTATAAATCTGTCCCTGTAACAAATCACACTCATATTATTGTAATATTCAATGTTAAACCTGGTAAAATCCCTTATCAAAATTATTATCTTTTTTAACGCAAGTCGGTAAAATCTAGTACTGCTTTATTTATTCTCTCGGCATTGTCATTTCAATTCAATCCATCTTATCAGTTATAATGTTTTGATAATGTAGTACCTTAGTAGTTTAGGTTTAATTGTAATAATTAGGCAAAATAAATGTCCACGAGTAGTTTATCGAGTAGTGGCGAAAAGCCGAGTGATAAGACGTCGAATTATTTGAGTCCTTCGAGATGCTACGAAAATGCCCCGCTTATTTTACGAAGGCCTACAAGTTACGGTTCGGTGTTTCCTTATTTTCAATTCGTCAAGGCTAGTACTAGTAGATATGCTAGCAATCAGGTATTGTTTTTTTTTAAATTTATCTCTGTTTCATTTTGGGTACTCGTATTAGAATAGAAATTTTCCATATCAATGGTTCAAATATTTGTTTGTTGGTTCTATTTGCTATCTAGGAAAAAAAAAAATAGAAAGGTACTCAAGTCGTAAATATAGGAAATTTGTAAATATGTACCTGTGTGGTTTGTTCGAGTTTTTTATTCAATAATATTCTATTTGTTTAGGCAATTGGGCTACCATAAAAACCATGACTGGCAAATTTAGAATTAATTCTCAAGGATTTCAGTGTGAATGTCCACTAAAAGACTCTCAGTTCGTTATGATTGTATAAATAGCTATTTTAATCTGTAGCCATATTATTGTTTACACAAAATAAATGCATCATACATGACAATAAGTGTAAACAAAAATAGCAGCACTTGGACCAAAATATACAATTGACTGTGTTGTTTTGATTTGGCTTAAACATATTTTACAAACAATTTAGACAGAAAGTTGTATGAAGACATAATTTATTTAGTTTTTAAGCATTTGAGAGCAATATACCTAGCAATAAACCTATATTGCTCGTTAGTATGAATTCAATCCCACGTACAGTTATTTTTGAATGATTGTCATGATTATGAAAAGTTGTGTATTTTCGTATGAATCTCCATTCGTAGGTCGGTCGAGTGAATGCCACTGGTATCATCCTGTTTCTGACCCCCCCCTCTAACCTTTCCTGTTAATGTTGTTGAATATATCCCATGTACAGTTTTTGAATAATTGTCATATGAGAATGAAATTTTGTAAATTTTCGTATGAATCTCTATTAGTAAGTCGATGGAGTTTACGCCACTGGTATCACCCTGTTTCTGACAACCCCCTCAACCTTCCATGCTAGTATGGATTTAATCTTATATGTAGTTTTTGAATAATTGTCATATGATTATATAATTTTGTATAGTTTCATGTGAATCTCCATTCGTAGGTCGATCGAGTATATACCACTTTTTTTTTTTTTTTTTTTTTTTTTTTACGGATATGCGCACTCGCAAGGAAATGTCCTATCACGCTCGAGAAGCGGCAAGTGCGCGGAAATGTCGGTGTATGTTGGTCTTGAAACGGTTCAGGTTGTAACCTGCAGGGAAAACCGTCGCAGGGAGTTTATTCCACAGCGATGCTGTTCTCCAGAGATATGAATTCTGATATAATGAGGTTCTTGGTGCCTCTAGTTTGACAGTAAATTCATGGTTACCGTCTGTTTGACGGGTTCGCCTGGTAGGTGCTACTCTCGGTGGAATCATACGTGCCAACTCTTCAGAGCATTTTCCGTGATAGTACCTGTAGAAGAGAGATAAATCGCCCACAGATCTGCGATGTTCGAGACCATCCAAGTTACGAGTAAGTGCGGGGTCATTGATCAGCTTGATAGCTCGTTTTTGCACGGTATTCAAAAGCATTAAGGTATGTTTGGGTGCTGCACTCCATATATGTGAGCAGTACTCCATAGTTGGTCGAATCTGGGCTTTGTAGAGTGTCAGCAATTGGCTTGGTGTGTACAGATGTCTTGTACGAAATAGCACCCCCAGCTTTTGGGAGGCCCTTTTAGCAATATCTGCCACGTGACTGTGCCAAGACATGTTGGTCTCTGCAGTAACCCCCAAGATGTTCAACTGACTCTGTAATGTGACAGCACTTCCAGATAGCATGATGTTTGGCTCACCGGTGCTGGTCTTTTTTGAAAACAGAGCTGCTTGGGTTTTCTGCGCGTTGAACTGTAGAAGGTTTTTGTTACCCCAGTCCTCTATTATCTCCAGGTCGTTATTTATCTGCGATATTTGAGTTAGTCTAAGATGATGGAATTCACGTGCGGAAAGACCTGTGGGTGGTATGAGTGAGGAGACTACATTGCCATCGTCTGCAAAGCAATAAAGTGGATTTACTGTTTTATCTATGAGGTCATTTATGTAAATCAGGAAAAGAGTTGGCGAAAGGATTGCTCCCTGTGGCACACCAGCATTTATTTGGTAAGAGTTGGAGTTCTGGCCATCCAGTGCAACATAAATGGATCTGTCCTTTAGGTAACTTTCAAACCAAGTGCAAAGTTTCGGCGATAATCCCATTGCTTTGAGCTTGTTGAGCAGATTTTCATGCCAAACTTTGTCGAATGCTTTAGATATATCTAAGGCAATTGTTCTTGTTTCACCCCGCAACTCAATCGCTTTTTGCCATAAGTGAGTGACGTATGTAAGTAAATCGCCAGTTGACCTATATTTTCGAAATCCGTATTGCTTATCGTTGATAATTTTGTACTTTTCCAAGTACTTGGTTAGGTGATTGTTCACAACTCTTTCCATTACTTTTGATATCACCGGAAGTAGAGCAATTGGTCTATAGTTTAACGGATCTGTCTTTTTTCCTTTCTTTGGAATGGGTTGTACTGCGGCAGACTTCCATGATGATGGATATACTCCTTGCCTGTAAGACAAATTGAATAATTTAGCGAAAGTTGGGGTGAGTTCGTTGGCGCAATTTTTGAGTACTATTGCGGGAATGCCATCCGGACCCATTGCTTTGTTTGTATCCAGCTTTTTTAGGGATTTTCGTATTTCTCTGTGACAAAAGTGTACCTCTGGCATACTATGGGAAACCCTTTCAATGAACGGTGGAGTTTTTCCGTTTGGCACTGTTAGGTTGGAGTTGGAGGAAAACATTTGGGCAAGCATATTGGCTTTTTCATCTGATGTTGTGGCTAAGTGATTATTTTTATCTGTAAGTGGTGGTATGGATGACTTGGTGAAGTTAGATCCAACAGCTTTTGCAAGAGACCAAAAAGACCTAGAACTATTTGGACAATTCAGCAACCTGTTTTTTATTCTTTGATTGTATGTTTCTTTAGCGGAGTCAATAGTAATTTTGCAACTATTTCTGGCTTCTATAAATTCTGTGTTGTTTTGAGCGGTTTGTTGTCGTTTCCAAAGGTTATATGCTCTGTGTTTTTTCTGTACAGCCGTTTGACACTGGCTGTTGAACCAAGGTTTTGCATTAGCTCTACGTTTAGTTGTATGTGGGATATATGCGTCCATTCCAGATAAGATTACTTGTGTTATTTCATTACAGCAAATAGTGGGATCAGCTGTTTTAAAGCAAACCTCTTGCCATGGAAAATCCAGGTAATACTGTTTTAGGTCATTCCATTTTGCCGATTTATAGTGCCACATTTTACGAGGAAGTGGTTGTAGGCTTGGTGGGATGAGCATTTCGCACTTTGTTATTATAAGTTTATGATCGGACGAACCAAGTGGAGCATCTACTTGAATTGTGTACGAGTCAGGATTGGTGGTTAGGAACAAGTCTAAAAGCGCTGCAAATTCGCCCCTTTCTGAGATACGGGTAGGTTCATCGACAAGCTGCGTTAGACCACAACTTATGGCAAAAGCTTCTGCTTCTCTGCCTTCGTTATCTGTTTTGTTGTGGTGTTTCAGCCAGGGTATATTATGGACGTTGAAATCGCCTAAAAAGACAATTTCCGCCTGTGGATAGTTTGACTGTATACTATCACAGCTTTCGGATAATGTCGCGAAAAAGTTTTGGTAATCGGTGTTACTTGGCGGTCGGTAGAGGCAGCAGATAAACTTGGTCGATGACTTTGAGGTGAATTTTAGCCATATGATATCAAGGTTCGCTGGTTCTAGCTTCTCCTCTCGATGACATGAAAGGTCATTTTTATAGTACACACAGATCCCAAAATTATGTCGAAATCGGTGGTGTAGGTCATAGCCGGGATAAAAATAGTTCACAATAGGTGTTGCAGAACTGATTTTAGTTTCAGTGAGAACAAGGATGTCAGGTCTTTGTTCTTCAAGATGTTGGTGAACTGAATTCATATTTGTACTTATTCCTCTTATATTGCTAAAATCAATTCTGAGTTGAGTTTTTGATCTTTTTATATCTTTGCATGAAGGACCCCCAGGATCACCCGACGCCCGGAGATCCGAGTGGTCGGGTATTTTACCTCCGGAATATTTTGATCCTGGAGGCGCCATCATGCTGGTGTCACCCTGTTTCTGACAACCCGCTCAACCTTCCCTGTTAGTACGAATCTGATCCCATGTACAGTTTTTCAATAATCGTCATCTGATTATATAATTTTGTGTACATATTTTCGTATAAATCTGCATTCGTTAACCAATCGAGTGTACGCCATTGGTATCACCCTGTTTCAGATTCAGATTCTTTATTGATGTTAATATTGGTAAAACAATTTACTTACACAGGTCAAATAAATATATAAAGATAATAAAATCATTAAAAATCGAGTTACAAATTATCCTAAACATCTAATTAATTATGCTAAAATGAATACATTTAAGGTAAAATTCAAATTCACAAAAACAATGAGGTACTAAGTGTCAAGCATGCTATCACAGCCCACAAACTTTTCAGTTGAGTAAAGAGCCTTGGAGATTAATTTTTGCTTTACAAGCCTTTTGAATTGCAGAAGCGGTAGATCCCTGACACATTTCGGAAAACTGTTGAAATATCTTACAACCAAAAAATTTGGTCGATTCTGACACTTCTTCAGTCTGAAGTATGGAGTAACGAGTAACCAGGTCGTCTCTGTTTCGTGTGTTATAGGTATGGAAGTCGCTGTTTGTATCATAATTATGCAAGTTCACTTTGGCAAAAAGATCATTTTCATAAATGAAAATCGATGGAAATGTCATAATACCCAGATTTACAAAGGCATTCGACAATGTGCCCTGTATGGCAACCTAGCAATGACTCTTACAGCTCTCCTTTGTAAGGCAAAAATCTTACCCGCGTCTGCAGCCCCACCCCAAACTATTATGCCATAAGACAGCAATGAATGGCAGAGAGCAAAATATGCCGGCCTGAGAACCCTCTGAGAAACACCGCCTGCCAGACCCCTCAGCACAGGCTGCTGATTTAAGTTGCCAGTTCCCCGATATGGAGGTCCCATTCCAGGATGGGGTCCAACGTTATTCTCAGAAATCTTA